TATTTTTTGAAGAATCTTTCTTCATTGTTTACATATTTAATTAGTCATATAACATATCGATTATTAACTATTTATGAAAGTAGCTTACATATTTAGATACTGTAATAAAAAATTAACAAATAACATGTAAATATAAATTGTTAGATGCAAAATTTATAAAATCAAATTTAATAATTAATTGAAGAAAAAATATTTCAAAATCATAGAAAAAGAATATTTAAGATAAATCTATTAGAACTTACTAATAAATTGTATTATTTAATGCAAACGTTTTCTTATAATTGTTTAAACGTTATAATGTCTGCTTATTTTCAAATGATGAAATGTGAGCTATATAGATATTATATTTTTATCTAACAATACATATAAGAAGCTTTAGTAGAAAAACTTCATTTTTTTCCTATAATTATAATTCTTATAAAAAAGTAAACAATTAATTCGACATAGAAATAGTTTAGATAGCTTTAAAACAAAATTTATTGCTATATAAAAAGCATATATTATTAAACGTCGGTTCACTTTTACATCGCAATATGTAAGATAACTCACGACTAATTAAATAAATTCTCGGAAAAAGTTAAAATCAATTTTTATATAACGAAAAATAAACAGAAAGCATTAATATTTCGAAGACACTAATTAAAATTTAATAACTAAGTTCTCTTCATTAAAAAAAAATATTTGATCTTGTGTCAGAGAGATTTTTAGGAAACAATTTCACAGACTAAATAGATAAAGATCATACTACTTGTAATTAATTTCAAACGATTTTTTTTTTAATTTTAATAAAACCTGCGAAGATATTTCAATAAATATTTAAAAAATTAGAATTTTTAACTTTTACTTAGGAAGAAGTATATTTCAAAGAATTAAGGAAATTAAAATCAAAATGGATACAATTTAGTTTGTGTACCACTCTGCCACTCTTACGCTCTTCAAGAGAGTTCTTATGAGTTCTTATGATGCATATCATTCTTGTTCCTCGTTCATTTACTCAAACATTTTTTTTCAAAGTGATTTGGTTTGTTACATCGAGAGCATGTATGTCCTTGTGCAGGGCACATAGATATAGCGTGATCTTTGCCACATCTAAGGCAATTTTTTACAAAAGGAATTTTACACAACCATGAGAAATGGTTTATCTTACCACATTTTACGCACGTTTGACCGAAAGCGTGACAACGTGACTGAACGTGACTCATTCCACATTTAGTGCAGTTAGACACGTATTTTCCTTTACACTTATTCGTAAAATGATTGTATCCTTTACAATTGTCACATTGCAACCCATAAGCTGGACAACGATTTCTACTATGACAAGTACCACAGCGAACGCATTCCATTTCAATAAGACTCAGATCAGAAAAAGGTTGCGTTTGTGTAACTTCGTGATTCCTTTGTAACGTTAATTTTTCGCATTGTTTCCAAAACAATGTAATTTTATCAAGATCCAACGATTGTAAATATGATTCTAAATCTTCTCCTTCCGATTGTATAAAAACTTTTTCCGTGAAATTGTAATTTTTAATATCTTTTATAATCTTCTCCTTCACAATGTTCACAGGATCACTATGATTGCTTGCTAGAGCAGCAAGCTGTAAAAAAAAACGTATTTGTAAATTTATATATTATTAACATGAATTAAAAAAGAATAAAAAGTACAAAGATAATTTTTTACATTTTTAATATATATGTAGCAAATAATTATCATTTCTTTTAATTATAAATTCTTTTGTCAATATAATTAATATCTTTATTATCCTTTTATGTGATTTCTGGATTATATGAAGCGATTGGAAAATGAAATTTTAGCTAAGTAAATTTAAGATATAAATAAGTGTTAAATAAAAAAAATTATTTTTAATTTAGTATTATATTTCTACAACCGTTTTATAATTAACTACAAAATATATATATACATAAAAATAGAACTAATTCTATATTTGTTGGATTGTGATTTTAACATGTTATAATCACATTTTAACAATATGCATTACAAAAAGTGATTTCAATTTAAAATACTGTTAAAATTTCAATTTACCATCAAGCAGTCAATATATTGGTCGATACTTTCGCTTTTTTGCTTTTCTTTAAATCCAAAAATAAAGAATATATCTAGTTTAAGTAAAACTGTTCCCAGATCTTTTGTTTGAGTGTTCGGAAAAAGATTTTTATATACTTTTTTTCCATCCGGTCCAATTAACATTAACAATATAATTGTCCATTGATTCTTATATATTTCTTTAGCATCTTCTTTCTGCAGAAAAGATAAAAAATTCTGTTTCCATGCACACCAACTTCTACCGACATTACGTTGTTCTGTGACATTTAATGGTGGAAAGTTTTGCATTTTGTTAAATATATCCAATGTTTGAATTCCATTGTCTGCTATAAAAATAATAATGCTAAAAAAATAATAATTTATATGAATCATCATATTGAAGGAATATTGCATTACTTACCCATATTTATTTTATAAATATTTCTTTTGGATTTTTATTTTTTCTTGGATTTTTCTTTGGATATTTATTTTTATTTTTTATTTTCTTTGGATATTTATTTTTATTTTTTATTTTCTTTGGATATTTATTTTTATTTTTTATTTTTGTTATGTATTTCTTTCACTCAATTTTTATAGTATAAATGTCAGAATAACTCTATGCCATATATAATTTCTTTGTTGGCTTAATGAATTTCTTTATTGCTTAATGAATTTCTTTATTGCTTAATGAATTTCTTTATTGCTTCTTATTTTTGTTCATATATTTATTTTATTATCTTTTATAAAAATAAAAAATGTAGTTATTGTATAGCAACAAAATTAATTATATTAATTAGTTATAT